TCCCACTTGATCATGGTGTATAATCCTTTTACTGTATCGTTGAATTCAGTTTGCTAATATTTTGTTCAGGAATTTTGCATCTATGTTCATCAGGGATATTGGCCTTGAATTTTCTTTTTTGCGGCATTCTTTTCTGGTTTGGGTAACAGGGTAATGCTGGCCTCACAAATGTGTTTGGAAGAGTCCCCCTTCAGCCCCCTTCTATTTTTTGGAAGAGTCTGAGGAGGGTTGGGATTAATTCTTCTTTGAATGTTCCGCCGGATTCACCAGTGAAGTCATCTGTCATGGACTTTTATTCTTTGGGAAGTTCTTGATTACTGACTCCATCTCCTTGGTAGTAACTGGTCTATTCAGATCTTCTATTTCACCATGATTCAGTCCTAGAAGGTTGTGTTTCTAGGAATGTATCCATTTCTTCTACATTGTCCAATTTGTTGGCATATAATTATTCTTAGTAGTCTCTTATGATCCTTCATATTTCCGTGGTATCAACCACAGTTGTATCAACTCTTTCATTTCTGGTTTTATTTGAGACCTCTCCTTTTCTATACTATAAAAGGCTTTTTCCTTTTATTTCACTTGATAGTCATTTTTAATATATAATTTACATACTATAAAATTCAGCAATTTAGAGTGTACATTTCAGTGTTTTTTTAAGTAATCCCCTATGTTGTACAACCATTGCCCATCTAATCCCCAAAAGTTTCCATCTTCTTCCCAAAAAACCCTATGCCAATTACCATGAACAGCCAATTATTTTATAAAAAGGAGTTTGGGCCAAAACATACCATAAGCCCCAGTTTTAGACTACTGGGTAGCACACAAAGTGGGAGGTACCACCAGAGAAAGTTCCTGAATTGCTGGAATGTGGCTCTACCTGCTCCTAAAAGAACCTGTGGTTTCTGCTGGTGGCAAGAGAAAGTGATGCACCTTTTAGTGTAAGTCTTTTATAAGAGGTTCAAGTTCTGGGAGCAGTTGGACAATCTGGTGTGAAATGTGTGAAGAAATTTAATTCATTATCTACATTTTTTTACTTGAGTTTAAGTGGAGAGGCTCGATGATGCGGTGGAAATGTTTAACATTTATTCTTAAAATCAACCACAGCATCTGAAAGACATATGATCAGGAGACCCGACTTCAGATGAAAACATGTCCCACTGTTACAACCAAGCATCTCACTTAATCCCACTTGTGATCACTCACCTTGTGGAATGAGGGAAAGTAACAGTAAAATGTCACGCTCAAATATGAAGAATTTAACATGGATTTTTTAAATCTCCTTGGGGGGAAAACCTAGTAAACCATGCTGAGCTCTGAGTCAGATGGAATTAGAGAAGGGGGTAAGCATAGCACAGAGGTACAGTGTACAGGCTCTGGAGGCAGACTGCCCAACCCTGACTCACCACGTCTTGCTGCCAACCTTGGGTAAGTTACTTAACCTCTCTGTGCCTCAGTTCCCTCATCTGTAGAATGGGGATAATAATAGTAACTACTTCAAAGGGCTATTATTAAGGCTAATGGATCATTACAGGAGAAGCCCTTGCCTGCATTACTACCAACTCACGAGTCAGCTACTACTGAGCAGGTTTGGGTTTAAAATGTCAGCAAGCTCCAGCCAGAATGAAGGTTCTGATAAACTAAATGGCACCTAAGTCTGACTCCTTAGGTATGATAAAGAAGTTGACCTCTTAGCAATTAGGCTTCCCTCTTTTGACTGGGTCTCGAGAGGAATCAACTAAGGAGAAAAACTCCCACTTCGGCTGCCCAAGGCTGATGCTGCTCTGGGGGGCAGGAGCAGAGGGAAGAACTCTGTGAGAGTTCTGGGTCTTGAGCCCCCACTGGGAAAACCATGAGGGTAAAACATCCATCCTCAATTGATGTCCTGAGACTAGCCCCCGCACTCCCCCACCACAGGCACCGGGCAGAAGAATCATCAGCACCCGTCTGCCCCCAGCCTCAACTAGCCAAGCATGCAAGGTCCATCTACTAGGGATGGGACAGAGCATGGATGATGGGAGAGGAGGTGGTTGGGGCTATTTTCATCTCTTCACAAGATACCGTTGTCTGCCTTCCCCACTGACTTAGTTCTGGGGCAGGGGCGGGGGTTTAGAGGTGACAACATGGCTGGGAGATAAGCCTGTACCCCAATCTGATCCCAATCCCACAGGCTCTAGGGCTACCAGCCAACACAATTCACCCAAAGTTCCTCAAACATACTCCGCATTTTGCTGGCTTCATGTTTTTGTTCAGTGTCCCACTTCCTCCACTGACCAACCGTACGTGGCCCGGCCTGGCCCCTGGGTGGGAAGGGTGCTCTGGCAGCCGCCAGCACGGTGGCGACAACATGCCCCTCCCTGCAGTGCATGTCACAATGTGCCCTCCTTGTGAGAGCCAGGAATTCTACCTCCTGGAATCTATCCTATGGACATAATCACATGGAGACGTAGGTACGAGATGACTTCAGCTCTTAGCAATCATGTTTTTGAAGAATATCTGGGGACAGAAAAAAGGCTAAAACTCCATGAAGGAGAAAAAGGATATTAAACCACATGAGATTCAAGTTTTATTAAAATATATGTATTATATTTAATATGCATCAAAGAAAAACTAGAAAGAAACACCTCAAAATGTTAACAGGGTTTCTATCACTAGGTGGTAAGTTGGTAGCCGGGGTTTTGTTGTTTTTTTCCCTTTGTTTGGTCAGGGCATCCACTATCCACTAATCACGGCGCCCCTTCCTCTGATATCAGCACCTCGATTTTTCTCTGCAAAGACCCCTGTCCTTAATGCGACATCAGTCAGGATGCCTATGCTCCCCTGGCCAAGTGCCAGGAGTGTGACCTGAGCTCAGCTGGGAAGCCTCCCTCCTGGGAACGGGAATCCTGGGCAGAGACACCCACAGATGGAGAATGAGCGGCGCTGTGGTCTTCTGCGAGCACATATGCTTGGGGAGACCGCCCACCGGCTCTGGCTCCCAGCCTGCTTGTCAAGGGGCTGCTCCTTCAGATTCTCCTGTGATTCTCTGAGCAAACCAACAGTGTCCTAATAAACTCTACTTTTGTTCAAGTTAGCCGGACACCACTCACGTTGCTGCCACTGAAGGGTCGCAAGTGATATCCTCTGCTCACGTGTTCACTGGACTCCAAACCCTCGGCAGGGAGCATGCGCTGCTAGTGGGAGCATCGTGAATGCAGAATCAGGAACTTTTGATAGAGAGATGGCTGGGAGGGGCTTGGCAGGTTTTGACGAGGAGTTCATGCGTGTGTGTATGTATATATTTTAAAATTCTATTTTTAAGTGCAGTGGGAAACTGTTAAAAGGTTTTCTAGTAGGGGGCTAGCATGATCTACTTTACGAAAGACCTCCACTGGCTCTGGGTGGGAATGAACAGGCAGTGTAGAAGGCTCTCTGAGTGGTTCTGGGAAGAAATGCTAAGGTGGTGTGATGGAGCAAAAGTAGGCGGACGCCAGGTACCCTGAACAGGTACCCTGAAGAGGACACCGGGTACCCTGAACAGGACACACAACTTGCTGATGCACTGGGTGTGAGGGGTAAAAAGGGTGTCACCAGGATGGTTCCCTGGCTTTCAGGCTCAGAGGCTGGTGGACGATGCCAGTCTACCGAGAGGGGAGGGACAGACATGGGACGGGGATGTCAGGAGCCCAGGGAGAGACACATCAGTTGACACATCTTCCTCCAACAAGCCCTGGACGATCACCCTGATGGCCCACTACACCCACAGCTGAAACAGGTGCTCCGGCTTGATAGTTACGCTTAAGGGTGCACCTGGACTTGTTAAAACACACTGGGCAGCTCAGAAGGTCCCAGGAGGGGCTGGAGAACGTCCACTTCTATCAAGTTGTTAACTCCCCTGAGTTTAGCTAAACTCCCGTAAAAAGTCACGGGGAGGGCGCCTGAGTGGCTCAGTTGGTTAAGCGACTGCCTTCGGCTCAGGTCATGATCCTGGAGTCCTGGGATCGAGTCCCGCATCGGGCTTCCTGCTCAGCAGGGAGTCTGCTTCTCCCTCTGACCCTCCCCCCTCTCATGCTCTCTCTCTATCTCATTCTCTCTCTCAAATAAATAAATAAAATCTTAAAAAAAAAAAAGTCATGGGGATAACCAGGGAATGGGGCGCGGGAGCACGTGATGACTCGGTGGCCGCCAAGCACCTCCCATAACACCGCTGTTAACTACTCAGTAAGGGTGAGTCCCCATTCCATTTAACACATGCCAAAGGCATTTAATGTCGGCGGACTGTGTGCATTTTGTTTCTAAATACGGAGTTGGAGAGGGAGAGATCATGTGAACACACTTGAGAGAACCCATGCCTAAAGGTCTGTGCTGAGCAAGCACCACTCCCCCCCCAGGAGTAGGGGGGTAGTGGGGCCCCCAATCCCGCCTTTCTGGACTGGGGAGGCTGCTCCCACTTCCCCTGAACCTACCTCCTGTGCAAATGCCCACCTCCTGGGCAACACACCTTTCCCATGGGTTTGGCCACCACAGGTTCCCAATTTCCAGAAAAGCCTCAGTTTTAAGTAATTCTATTTTCAACAAGGATGAAGACACGAGTGTGTGGTGAAGCGCAATGTAACCGTTTCACTTTTGTAAGACTTTTGCATAAATACATTCACGCACCCTAATGTTTGGGTTTGGGTTGCCTCCAGCGCCTCTCCCGACACGTTTTCTCTCCTTGCCTCACCCTTCACGAGGGATGTTTCACTAGCATGGGGGTGGTCACCTTCCAGAGAACCTGGCATTCTCATCAGGCTCCCTGCAGAGAACGTGCTGGAATGTCAGACTGGTGCTAGTGAAGGTCTTTGGGAGGGGAGAGCCGGGCAGACGGACGGGAGAAGAGGCAGCAACAGGGCCACCCCAGCTGCCAAAGGCCTCGCTGTGAGGCACTGCACCCCTCCCCCAGGGTGTGCAGAGCGCTAGCACCCCTTACCTATGACACGTGGGGTCAAGATGAGAGGAGGCTGCAAGCAGGCTGCAAATCTTACCTTCTCGTAGGGACAGTACTTGTACATCTTCGTGGGGCTCGTGCAGATGAAGACATCAGTGCTATGAGAAACAGGAAGGACAGTCAGCCTGAGCCCCCACGTCCACGCGGCCTTCGTCACTCCTGCCCCCCTGCCCTGCAGGCGTCAGGCCCTCCCAGGTCTGCCCCCATCACCTGGAAACCGGAAATCCCACGGCCCCGCACTGCTCTCCCAGCCAGACACATCCCGTCCCCCAGCCCTGAGCAGCCACGTGTGACCTCTCCTCTGGCCCAGTGACCCGCTCAGGGATGGGCGTCCATGGATGGCAATTCTGCATGGCCGGAACCCAGAGCTTGGCTGGGCGAAGCACCTGCCCTCTCTGGAATCTGAACAGGGAAATACTGAGAGAAAGAAGCATTAGCAATGAGAGACGCAATAAAGGGGTGCAGGGCAAGTCACTTGAGGGAGACTCGGGGCCTCGTGCAATGCAAAGCAAAGAAGCCCATGAGAGTCTTCTGGTAAAGTATGTCCGCCAAGCCCTCTGGCAGAGGGGGGAGGGGGAGGAGCCCCCTCCTCGCAGCCAGCCTAAGCTCCCTCAAAACGGACAAGTGCTCTGCTGAGGATCGCCCCCTCCCACAGTCTGGTTCTTCTGTGCTGGTGAGAGCAGGGGAGCTGACCTCAGGGGCCTTGTCCCCACAGCCCAGGGGCCCCAGACCCTCCCCAAAAGAGCCATCTGGTCCCGAACATCCGCAGAAAGCCACCATCTACCACTCTGCAGACTGAGCCTATGGAAGACTAGATTTTCTGGGCTCCTTCGCTCTTTGACAAATTAGTCCCGAGAGTCCTGCCGACGTCAGACTGCCAGGTCCCTCGGCAGAGAGCACGCGCCTTCTCGTTACCTCTCAGCACTGCCTCTGCCAACCGCACTGTCCCCTTCAGAGACACAGGGCGAGGCGGGTCTTCCTCGCCCTCCCTTGTCACTTCCAGGCCATTCCTCCTGTTAGAGTGGGTGGTTAGTTAGGTCCTAACGGGGTGCCTGGAGGCCAGCAGAGGAAGTCATGGTCAACTAGGAGGAAAGTCAAGAGGCCTGTCCAGGCAGCACTCCAAAACAAAACCACAAGAAACCGGATCCCACCAGACAGGCCCAAGACGGCCGACAAAGGATCATTCCTTCAGCACGCTCCATCGCCATACTGTCCTCGAGTTCTTTCTCCAGAAGAGACCAAGAGCCTCCGGCGACATCATTTGGTCAGGCTAGGTAGAAGACTCAGGGGCCGAGGTCTCCCCAGTTCACCCAGCGACTCCTTCAAAATCCCTACCTTGGCGAGGCCCGTGCCCCACAACCACCCGCGTGCTGCCCTTCCCTGCTGTCGTCACCTCCCGCCACCTGCAGTCCTCCCCGCAAACACGTTCTGATATCTTCGCTCCATCCTTCAGCCTCAGCAAGACAGACAACTCCCGGAGGCTCAGCGCGCTTTCATCCTCCCTGGGGGCCTTCTGGCCCCACTGCCATCTCCCTGCTGGTCTTTCTGTCCCTCCACCGCGGCTGGGAAGAACCCCACTCTCCAGCTTCTTGGACCCACAGCCAAGCAACCGAATGTTGCTGGAGGAAAAAAAAAAAACTCGCATAATTGGTTTGGCCATTTTCATCTTAAATTCATAACCCCCACCCCAAGGCAGTGGTGCAGTCACCAGGCAGCCTGTCCCCAGGGCCCTGGCGGGTACTAGTCTCCAGGACAGCCGCCACACACCACCCCGGAATCTAGAACCATGCCTGTGTCTGAACTTCTTCTCCCTTTCAATTGCACGGGAGGAACAGGCATCCCTCCTTACTCTCAAGGCGAGCCCTTCATTTGCGCGCAGGATTCCATCCCCTGATCTTCGCAAGGAGGAAACGCGCTGCCACATTCCCTTTTCCGGGATTGCGCTTCCCGACAACTCAGACTTGTTGTGCTCTCTCTCATCTTAAAACATACATATACACACACACGACCTTGACCTCACACCCGCTCCTATGCCGTCCCTTCTCTCTGCTCCCAAGACATCCCAAGTGGCCTGCACCTGGTGACCCCACAGCCTCACCTCCTGTGTGTGCTTTGATCCACCCCGACCTGGAGTCCATGACCTCCACTACCCAGAAAGTGCCTGTTGTCACCAAGGACCCTCATGTCACCATAGCCAATGCACACCCCCCTTTCTTTGGCTCACCAGCACCCAGGTAGCCCTGTCCTCCTCTGTGAGAGCTCCTGGTCCTGGCACGCCTGCCCGTCGTCGGCCACCCCAGGCATAATCTCCCAGCCACCCTGGTGATTCTGACCCTCAGGGGTTCTTCGTCTCCGCCCCCTGCTCAGCGAAGTCATCAAGGGCTTTACGCACCATCTTCATGCTGGTGCCCCCAACTTTACCTTCACCATCCAGCTCCGTCCCCCGAGTGCCAGGCTCACGTCCTTAATAGCCTACTGAGTATCTCTGCGTGGACATCTCACCAACACTCGTTTTTTTCCAAAATGGCACATATGGTTCTCCCCACTCGCCAAACCTGTTCCTTCCCCAGTTGATGGCACTATTATATAGATCTAGCTGCTCAAGCAAAAAACCTAAAGACCACCCCTTTTCCTACCCTTTCCCCTTCCCCAAGATCCATCCCCAGACCTATGGGTTCTTCCTCCAAGGTGTGTTTCATTCCATCAACTTTCTTCCATGGTCGCCACCCCAGTCTCAAGGACTGCCACCTCTCATGGATCTTCAACTTCCAATTCTGCTCCCCGCCGAGCCTTTCTCCACCCAGCAGCCAGACTGATTTTTTTTTTTTGAGATTTTATTTTTATTTATTTGAGAGAGAGAGACTGCGCGAGCGGGGAGAGGGGCAGAGGGAAAGGCAGAGGGAGGGAGAATCTGAAGCCGACTCAGCGCTGAGCACAGAGTCCAACACAGGGCTCGATCTCACCACCCTGAGACCATGACCTGAGCCGAAACCAAGAATCAGATGCTCAACCGACTGCACCACCCAGGTGCCCCTGGACTGATTATTTTTAAACAGCTTCATTAAGGTATGACTGACACACAATAAACTGCACAGCTATAATATGATAAGTTACATGTGAAACACAGATCTCCACAATCAAGATAATAAATAACGCCCTAAAGTTTCCTGGCACCCTCCTGTCATCTCTCCACCTGCCCCGCCTTGTCCCTACCCCACCCCTGGGCCCCAGGCAACCACTGATCTGCCTTCTGTCACCACAGATCAGACTGTGCTTTCTAGAATTTTATATAAATGGAAACACAGAATATGTACTCTTTTTTGTCTGGCTTCTTCCATCCAGTAAAGTTATTTCTGGGACTCAGTCATGTTATTAAATGTATCCATAGTTGGTTGTTTTGTTTTTTGTTTTTGAGCAGGCTGATTTTTTAAAAAACAACTTCATGGAGATGTAATTCCTAAACCATCACAGATGCCCATTTTCAGTTTGTAATCCAATGAATGTTGCTACATTTACAGACTTTGACAACAATCACCAGAACATTTTCATGCTCCCAAAAGGAACCTTGGGTCCATTAGCAATTACTCTGCATTCTGCCCTTGGCCTTAGGAAACCACCAACCTACTCCCTATCTCTGTGGATTTGCCTGTTCTGGATATTTCACATACATGGAATCCTATAATACACGGTCTTTTGTTACTGGCCTCCTTCATTTAGGAAAACGTTTCCAAGGGTCACCTGCATTGTAGAATGTACCCGGGCTTCACGCCTTTGAATTGCTGAGTACTATTCCATTGGATGTGGGTGGATGGGCCTCATTTGTTCATGCATGTATCAGCTGACGGACATGTGGACCGTTTTCACCTTTTGGCTATTACGAACAACGCTGCTAGGAACATTCATGCACAAGTTTTTGTGTGGATGTGTGTTTTCATTTCTCTCAAGTATACTCCCAAGAGTGCTATTGCTGGGTCATATGGGTCACATTTACTATTTGGAGGAAATGTTTTCCCAAGTGCTTTCCACAGCAGCCGCACCATTTTCCAGTCCCACCAGCAGTGATAAGGGGTCCAAATGCTCTCCATCCTCAGTAACACGATTGTCCTTTTTTTTTTTTTATTATAATCATTCTAGTGGGTGTGAAGTGGTATCTCATTGTGGTTTTGATTTACATTTCATTACGGACTACTGATGTTGGGGCAAAATTTCATGCATTCATTGGCCATTTGCATATCTTTTTTGGAGAAATCCCTGTCCAAACTTATCACTCCAAGCCCATGTTTTTATAACTTAAGTCACATCATTCAGTCTTCAATCATCCGCCAGTGGATCATCCCTCCCGTCCCCCCGACACTAACTGAATTCTAGTCATACTGCTCTCCTTCAAAATGTCAAATAAGCAAATCCTTGCCCATATCAGGACCTCTGCCCTCTGGCTTCTTACTAACCAGTTCATTCTTTTTTTTTTTTTAAATAATTTTTTTATTGTTATGTTATGTTAACCACCATACATCATTAGTTTTTGATGTAGTGTTCCATGATTCATTATTTGTGCATAACACCCAGTGCTCCACGCAGAATGTGCCCTCTTTAATACCCATCACCAGGCTAACCCATCCCCCCA